GCCAGGCGGATCTCTGTGAGTTTGAGGCCAGCCTGGGCTACCAAGTGAGTCCCAGGAAAGGCGCAAAGCTACACAGAGAAACCCTGTCTTGGAAAACAAACAAACAAACAAACAAAAAAGAAGTTCAAAGGCATAGAAAATTAGAAAAAATTTCATATTCTCGCTCAAACTCAATTAGTTGAGTTTATAATGTAACATTTTCTTTTGCCTTTGTTACGGTTTTCAAATGCTCGACAAAGCTGTAGATGTTATTTTCCCAATTCCAGTCTCTCTTCACTTAAGTGAAGACCAGAAGGCATTCTCACCAGGTAATGAACTTCAGGGTCAGCTGAACATCAGCACTGAAGAGGTCACTCAAGATCTGACCTGCCAGGTTTAATGTAGGTCCCGAGTCCCAAATTATTCCAGTGAATCTGCAAACTATAAATGCCAGTGCTACCTGGTTCACTTGCTGTAACAGGAGCTAAGGCTGGCTCCCTCACACGCAAAACCCTATTCTGCTCTGAAAACTCTTGAGGCAAGTGTGAGCAGAGTAACTTAGAAACCCCAGCAGGATAATTAACTTCCAGTGGAAGCGAGGAGGAGGTGTGGGCTGCAGTTGGTTAGTAAGACTGGGCCAGGCTCCTGTGTTCTATGAAGTGTGTGGGCTGGAGATGAGGGCCTTAGGGAGTAATCAATGCCATTGTTGCGTGAGCTTAGATTTATTTCATAAACAAGCACTGAGCTACTGAAATATCAGATAGAGGCAATGCCTTGCTATTTAAACTAAGAAAAGATTGCAATTCATTCTCTATGGTTGTCCCAGAAGAGGTCAGGACATGTTTGCTATCATCCACAATGGGATGACAGCAAGAGAGAAGGCCTTTGTGGACCCCTCAGGAAACAGCTGCCATGTTTCTGCCCCAGAGATACAGGAGTGGATTGCTCAGCATCTTCCACGAGTTCAGCTGCATCACTGCCTCTAGGCTGGCTATTGAGGATGTGGTCCAGAAGCCTGGCACCCTGGCATCACTTGGGAGCCTGTCAGCAACACAGGACCTCAGTCTAGATTTACCCAAGTAGACTCCACATTTCTCTAGCATTCCCTTTCATGTACACATTAGATGCCAGAGGCACTGTTTATATATA